AACATGTGATGGCCTGCAAACACTTATACTCAGTCTTGTATGAAGTTCCTGTTCCATGTCATCATGCTGTAGCCAGTTCTGATACTCTCAGTTACTCAGTATAATTAAAAATTAATAGGTATTAAGAATCACCTTGGATGAGTTGAGTCAAAGTAAGAGGATGACATATAAATCACCTTACACAATTGGCATTGCACAATTGACAGAGGGGATGATGAGACTTAGCATCCTAAGTCGTTACCAAACTGACAGTGGGGAAAGAAAAACTGTCTTGGGATTCATACCAACAGGCCTTAATGCTCTAACTTTCAGAGTTCATGAAGATACTGAAATGTCTCACACTGGTCTGCCATACTGTTATATTTTTCACTTACAATCTGTTGACATATTATTATATACTGAAGTTACAGGAGATTGTTAGTAGATGTATGTTGAAGTGTGAATGGAGAACAAGAATTACAGAGTTGAATACAAATATTTGTGAACAAAACATTTTTCATTCAAACTTTTCCCAACCCAGCTATTCTGAACATTTATGAATATCGTCACAGTTTAGAGTGACTATAGACAGGGTTTCGATTGGTGAACAGCTTTATTGACTATTTACAGGTTGTAACTACAAATAACTATGACACTTATTTTTTTCAGTGAATGCATCCTGTTATGTATCATATATTATTTCTTACTGAAAACTGTCGCAACACAACAATCAATAATACATGTAAGTATTATAATAATATGATACATAACAGGATGCATTCACTGAAAAAAAAAATAATTGGCAATAGTGTCATATATCATTTCTTACTGAAAACCGTCACAACACAACATCCTGCATCACCTTGAGGCTGGAATGCAGTGAGCAGTATGCCTTCGTGATCCCAGAAGACTGTTAGCATCACTTTCCTGGAGGATGGTGTCACCTTAAACTCGCTTTTTGGCAGGTGACGCAGGATGTTTCCACTGCATTGACGCACACTTTGTCTCTGGCTGGTAATGGTGAATCCAAGACTCATAACCTATGACAATTCGGGCTCGCATATCGTGTCCTTCATTGTGGTAGCGACTGAGATGCTGTAATGCCAGACCCATTCTTTGCATTTTGTGTTGTGGGGTCAACATGCGCTGGAATATTAAACATAATCATCATCATCATCATCCGTAATCTGTCAAGACGACAGGTCCACAGTCTCTTTCAAAACAATTCCTCCACTTAATGCGATCTAGAGCTTTCTCCTTCAAATGAAAATATCCTCTTCTGTCCCCAAGGTAATCCAGCATGTTCTTACGTCTTCCCGTCACTTCTATCCGCCCCTCTATCTTTCCTTCAATAACTTCTTTTAGAAGGCAGTTACCGCGTAAGATATGACCAATCAAATTAGCCTTCCGTTTTCTTATTTCATGTAGGATATTCCTCTGCTCACTGACTCTAATTAACACTTCTTCATTTCTCACATAATCGGTCCAACTGATCTTCTCCATTCTTCTCCAACACCACATTTCGAAACTTTCCAGATGTTTCTGATCTACTGCCCTAAGTGTCCATGTTTCAGCCCCATACAGAGCTATGCTCCAAATGTAGCATTTCACTAGTTTCTTCCTCAAATTTAAGTCCAATTTGCTGGTAAAAAGATTCTTCTTCTTGCTAAATGCAGCTTTTGCCATGGCAATCCTGGATTTAATTTCACAAGTACACCTTCCATCATCTGTTAACAAGCTACCCAAATATTTAAAACATTTCACATTCTCCACTTGTTTTTGGTCTATCTTTATTGTGACTGGGGTTGGTTGTCTCGAAATTTTCATTACTTTTGTTTTCTCCACATTCATTTCCATGCCATAGCACCTTCCAATTTCAATTAGTCTATCAATCATGCCCTGTAGCACAGTTTCTTCCTTAGCCATTAACACAAGGTCATCTGCATATTTCACAGTTTGAATAATTTGCCCTCCTACTTTGAAGTCACCGAGCCCATCCAGAGCTTCCTTGGTAAGGCATTCGGTGTACAAGTTGAACAGAATTGGTGATAAAGAGCATCCTTGTTGAACTCCTCTTCCAATCTGCATACTTCCTGTCTCCCCCCTGTCCAGTCGTACTCTAACAAACATGTATGAAAAAATTTGAGGTGCATGTGGTAGAGTAGTTGGTTGAGGCACTATGCTACAAGCCAGAAGGTCGCGGATTCAAGTCCCGATTAGGTAATTGGATTTTTTTCAATTGATCTAATCCTTCCAGCCGCACTATGGCCCTGGGATCTACTCAGGCTCCAACAGAAATGAGCACCAGGAATATTCTTGGGGGTAAAGGGCAGGCAGTGTGTAGGGCTGACAACCTTGCCGCCATTTGTGAGGCGATTGTCTAGAAAATGTGGGAGCCTCGACATCTCACACCCCTAAGGGCCTGCACGGCCTCTTACAAGGATACCTTTTACTTTACAAGGGGTCAGCATGCGCGGCACCCATTGTTTACAGCCTTTGTGAAAACCTAACCTGTCATGCATTATGAGGTGGGCCATGCCATGTGAACAAGCCTGGTTCCGACAGTAGCCCAAAGAATTTTATGCTGCTGGTTTTCAGGCACTTGTGAAATGATGGGACAAGTGCCTTAATGTACAGGGAGATTATGTTGAGAAATAAAAGCATTTTTCAAATCAGTACTCTCATTTCTTTAAGTTCTATATCAATTTGTAACTTACTTATTGACTTACCCTCGTGTATATATATATATATACACACACACACACACACACACACAGCAAGCCATTATAAAATAAACGTCAGTTATGTATACAATATCTGTAATTAAAATAAATCTACAAAAACATAAAACCAATTATAGAATTATATAATAAAACAATATACCAATTACAAATCTCAATCTATGGTTTAAAACAATCTATTTGTACTTATTGCTACTAAAACTCTCTTATTCCTCTCAACAACTTCGCAACAGGTACATCGTTTTCATAAGTTTCACACTCCTTCTCAGTCACGATTATCCAATCATCATCATCATCAGTAATCTGTCAGACGACAGGTCCACAGTCTCTTCCAAAACAATTCCTCCACTTAATGCGACCTAGAGCTTTCTCCTTCAAATGACAGTATCCTCTTCTGTCCCCAAGGTCATCCAGCATCTTCTTACGTCTTCTTCCTCGTCTTCTTGTCACTTCTATCGGCCCCTCTATCTTTCCTTCAATAACTTCTTTTAGAAGGCAGTTTCTGCGTAAACCATGACCAATCCAATTAGCCTTCCATTTTCTTATTTCATGTAGGATATTCCTCTGCTCACTGACTCTAATTAACACTTCTTCATTTCTCACATAATCGGTATAACTGATCTTCTCCATCCTTCTCCAACACCACATTTCGAAACTTTCCAGATGTTTCTGATCTACTGCCCTAAGTGTCCATGTTTCAGCCCCATACAGAGCTATGCTCCAAATGTAGCATTTCACTAGTTTCTTCCTCAACTCTCTCTATCCAATCATATCCCTAATTATTTACTCTGTAGGCAATTGCACAGATGTAAACTACGTTTCTTTTATGGTACAGCAGCAATAAAATGCAAAAATATAAATCTTTATTTCCAACAGTAATATTCCTCTACTGTCAGGTACTCTTGCACAATGAACTCCACACAAAAACATCAGCAGGTCCATCAATTTTTTGGCCATCTTAAATGGGGAGGTTGTTCTCTTTGCAGACGATACAAATATATTGGTTATTGATAAAGATAAAAGCATCCTTCAAGATAAAATAAAGAGAATTATGATCCAGCTGGAATCTTGGTTTTCAAAAAACAATATGATTATAAATAATGATCAGACTAAAGCTATGTTATTCCAGTTAAAGAACCGCATGACATCTCAGGGCCAGATATTATTTTTAATAATATAAAAATTAAGTATACATCTCAGTTTAGATTTTTAGGTATTAATATAACTCAAAATCTCAAATGGAGTGTACATATTCAGTCCTTGTGTTCAAAATTGAATAAGGTATGTTATATTATTAAATCTTTGAAAGATGAGGTAAGTTTACATATACTCAGGAATATATACTTTGCCAAATTTCAATCGTTGGTAAGTTATGGGTTGATTTTTTGGGGAGGAGAAAATGTAAGTATTAAAGTCTTTAAAATAGAAAAAAGGATGCTTCGTTTCATAAAAGGTGTAAATAACAGAGTGTCATGCAGACCTTTATTTAAAGATTTGAAGATTTTAACTATTATGTCCTTGTACATCATAGAGGTGTTGTGTTATTTTAAGAGATATAATATATACACTAGGAGAAATACTGATTTATACGAGTATAATACTAGGAGGAAAGATTATCTTCATGTACAACACTGTAACACATCAGTTTTTAAGCAAAGTGTTATTAATGTGGGCATTAAATTATATAATATACTTCCTTTGGAAGTTAAAAAGTCAAAGGGAAGAAACGAATTGTCAATGAAAAATTCGTCGAGTGTAACAATGTTTTTAGGTGTAACGGACCAAAAATGAAACAATTCAAAATGGAAGAAACGAATTTAAACATAAATTAATATTATTTTTATTTGATCGTCCTTTCTATACATTGAATGAGTTTCTTCAACAAGGACATGAGGAAGCATAGCAAGGTTTCTTTAATTAACAAAAAAAGAGAAGAAAAGGGAATTGTAGTAGTTATTGTTATATTTTTAAAATTGTTAGTGATGTTTTAAGGCAAGTACAGTTTTATTTTTAGTCTAATACATTCTACCATTATAGAGCTTTTAACAATGATGTATTTAGTGAGTTGACTTGTTCAAGTGTTGCAGTTGTAACAGTATGAATGCAAATAAATATGAATATGAATATGTAAGCAAACGAATCACTGCAGCGCGTTACAGAACAGCTGATTTCTAAGAATCCAGGCGGCAACTCAATCGAATTCAATCGTGTGAAGACTGGCACGCTCCGTTGCCTGGATATTGACTTTCTCAGTCTCCCCGCAAGTTGCGTTTCCGTTACCTCAATTTGCGCTGCCGCGTATACGAACATGTCTTCAACTCCGGCTCATAACACTTCTCGGAAATCGCGGTTGTGTTTCAGTTTTCAGTTTCCTTGGTGTGCGCCCTGCCTAATTCGCACCTTTAACTATATTGAGCGCACGGAGAATACCATGGAAGTAAGCAGCGGATATAAGATAGTAATTAACTGTGGAAAGATCACGAGCGATTTCGAGGATGATCATTAAAATGCTGATTGTCTTTGGTGGGGCCATGTACAGTTTCGTGTTGTCTTTTGTTAGCCTCTAGCGGCAAGAGTTGGTAACTATCTCATTTCAACTGAGTTGTTGCCCGTGGAAGATGCCTTCTGCAGCTACTGCGAAACTAGAAAAACAAGCCTCTACGGAGGCTGTTGAACCTATCCGACAAGCAATTATAGTACTTGAACATAAAATACGAAACTTGGAAAAGAGAAAGGTGTGTATTATTCTGTAATTACTTGATCTCATGTCCGTGCGTTTGGGAAGAGAGAACTGTCATTTTGGTGTAATGCTTCCGCCATATTTCATTGTACCATGTGCTTGTAATAATTATGAACCAGTTTGTTTAATAAAATTTAGCATCATTGCGCATAACATCACAGTAAACATTTAAGAGTCATCCCAGAAAGAAGGGAACTCTTAGTTGGAGTAAATGGAAGGAAATAATCGTTTTATATAGGCATGAAATAGGAAACATGGCCGTCAAAGTTTTCGGACTTACCTACGATTAAGAATATTTTTATTTGCTAAGAATATTTCACATATTTTGCGGATGAAGCTCATCATGGCTCGGAATTCATTGAAAGCAGCGTTGCATTGTAAAGTGTTCGGGTGTGTGAGATCCAGTTTCCATGCGTAGACAACGCTTACTTGCTTTGTCTTCTTACCGAACTCCATAACCATCAACGTGTTTTAATTACAGTGCGGTAGTAAAATATATGGCGTTTATTTCAGTATCTGAAAAAATGCCATAGGTAGATTTATTTAGTGGGTTTTTTTTTTCCAGTGGAGTGTCGATTTGACTCTCCTAGGCTAATTTCATTTTTGTATCACGATTTCAAGATTTATAGCATAGTTTGCCCAAATGAAAGATGTTGAAATGGCACATTGGTATAAGTAATTGCACCGAAATCTTCAGGAAACATTTGCAGCGGTACAGTTGATTAGTTATATGGATTTGAATGATTTTTTTTTTGTAATTGAATTGTTTTTTTGTATTCCGCTTAACTATAAGCAACATAGTCTTATTTTATAAGTCTTCTTGACAATTGCTTAAGAGTATTAGCAAGATAAATTGACACAATTCTGTATCTGAGGCTTTTGCCTACTATAGATGTAATGGAATAAGGAAGAAATAATAATAATAATAATAATAATAATAGTAAGAGGAATAGCACTAATCTACTAGTATGTGTTAATATATGTTTGTAATTACATTGAAATTGTATAATTGAAGAAGAAGCACATGCTTCTTGTTATGTCTTTTTCTCCAGGTGTTATCTTTTTCACACCTCATTTCATGAAGATAGGGATGTATTCTGTGACTCATTATGTTAAGGATGTGGAACAACTGAATTTACAACACATTGTGTTTAGAAAATATAAAATGTAGTGTGCCCAGTAACATCAGAAAAGCAAGATACACTACAATAGACCTTAATACTCTCTACCAAAATAAACAATTGTGAATATACATATTTACACTCTGCACAAGAGCTGTACTTAAGACACATTTAGCCATTTTCGATAACACAATAATCATACTGTAGATTAATGCATATAAGTGCACATAGTTTTACATAAGGATTTATTTATTGCTAATATTCATTTATCAGCAGAGTAGAACGTGGTCTAGAGGAGTTTTTTTTAATGCTGTGGTACCCTATGTTTGTGGTTAAACACTTTTGAGGTGCTTATTCTTATATTTGTGTGCGGATTCGTTTTCATTGTGATTCAAAGCTTAGAAGTCTTTGCTTTTATGTACTTTTGGACATTCTGTTTCCCAGGACTGGGATTCAGACTTTCAGATATTTTACCTGGCTAAAGTCTCATTGTGAACTTGAGACTTGGTTTTTTTTGTCGTTCTATATAAACGTAGACACCAGTGCCAGATGCTTTTAAAATTGAATTAGTTAGCTATAGAGCAAATGAAAATCTGTTCAAAGACATGGGGGTCATGTCCTTTCAAAACAAAGTGTGATACCACATGACAGATAAAATTAAAGTTTCCACATCTCTGTTCACTCACCATTTTTACAGCCAAGTATCAGTACATCCCATACTTCTTATGCATACTCAAGTCCCTGGAATAAATTATGTTACAGATTTCTTTTTGAGAAATTTTATGGGGCACAGTTTCCCTATGTTTCTCAGACTTCTGTTGTCTGAGTCACCCTTGATGTGGATAAAAATGTTTGAGGGCTCAGCCTGTAAAGTGACGTAAATTTTATTTAACAATTCAGAAATATGATTACAAATTGATTTTCATTATATCTGTGAAGTACTTTTTCTGTTGTGGCTGTATTTAATGTGGCCATTTTTTCTCAGCTTAAACATATGATAAGAAGATGATTAGTATTTTTGTTAGCCACTGGAAGAGAGCCTCATTGGCCCTCTGCTGTACATCCCCACACCAAATTTTGGGAAATGCTAATCTAATAGACATGCACTACATCATCACCTGTGTGCACTTCATTCTCATATCAGAAACATCTTACAAGTTTAGCATATTCATAATTTTATGTTATGGCTGTCTGGATTATTACACCATATTGAAGTAAGAAAATTGGTTCCAGTGTTTCAGAGGAACACATGCCATTATCTTCATACCATACTAATACAGTGTCTTTTTTTTTCTGTGGCGCTACAGCCCCAATTTGGGCCTAGGCCTACCTCCATGAAACTCACTTCGGTTTACTAGATCTTACACATTCGGTAGGACTCCTTGGGCGAGTGATCAGCTCATCACAAGGCCTCTACCTGTAGACAAACACAGAAAAACGCACACAAACATCCATGCTCTGAGTGGGATTCGAACCCATGATCCCGGCTTCCGAGCGAGCAAAGACAGTGCATGCCTTAGACCGCTCGGGTACCGTGACCGGCAATACAATGTCATAGCCAGGAGAAATGAAATATGCTGAAAAAAATATGTACCCATCAGCTATACAAACATCATTCTGTTTTAGAAATATGTATGCACTTATTTCTGCCAGGAGGTGTAAGGAAATGTAATTTTAATTTTTTGTGCTATTTCCAAATTATAAAAAACATACACCTTCCCAATAATGTGACTATTCCTGCTGTCTTTATTGTGAAATATTTAATGAAATATGAGGAGAAAAAATTTCTAAATTCTTCTTTTGTTCTACCTGCAGTAGACATGCATGTTGCTTTAAATTAGCAATTATTAAATCTCATTTCTGCTACCAGAGTGCACCATGAAATGAAATGTGTTTTGTCACCTGGAACGCTAGTTTATGGAGCCAGGTGACTACGAAGATGCCCCTGTAAGCAAGATAATACACGTTACAAATGTAGGATTGTTGAAGGGTTGAAACAGAGGTGATGCACAGTAGGTCATGATGGTTGCGATGCAAGGACCTGTCAGAGCCTACCCCTTAATTAGTTCAGTTATTCATGAAAAGAAATGTACATTTGACAGTTATTGTATCATTATCAGTAATCTGTCAGATGACGGGTCCACAGTCTCTTCCAAAACAATTCCTCCACTAAATGCGATCTAGAGCGTTCTCCTTTAAATGACAGTATCCTCTTCTGTCCCCAAGGTCATCCAGCATCTTCTTACGTCTTCTTCCTCGTCGTCACTTCTATCCGCCACTCTATCTTTCCTTCAGTAACTTCTTTTAGAAGGCAGTTTCTGCGTAGAACATGACCAATCCAATTAGCCTTCCGTTTTCTTATTTCGTGTAGGATATTCCTCTGCTCACTGACTCTAATTAACACTTCTTCATTTCTCACATAATCGGTCCAACTGATCTTCTCCATCCTTCTCCAACACCACATTTCGAAACTTTCCAGATGTTTCTGATCTACTACCCTACGTGTCTTTGTTTCGGCCCCATACAGAGCTATGCTGCAAATGTAGCATTTCACTAGTTTCTTTCTCAAATTTAAGTCCCGTTTGCTGATAAAAAGATTCTTCTCCTTGCTAAATGCAGCTTTTGCCATGGCAATCCTGGATTTAATTTCACTAGTACAATTTTTATATGAAGTTATAAAACCATTGCTATTAAGAAAAGTGTCTATTCTGAGTTATACATGTAAAGAGGTGAGTAGAGGTCTATAAGGGAGAAATAATGGACAGGTTTCTTTTTAGTCATGGGGTGCAGATGAAAAGTACTCGTATGGCAAGAAATAGCACACAGTGGTGCAGTTGCATTGCGGAGAACTTGCCATAACTATGGTCCTGTTATAACCTATACATAACTGTAATCCATCTCTCGGTGGACTCAACCAAGTCCACTGCACATTCTGTTGCAATATGGGCAGTATGTAAGGTGAACCAAGATATGGGGTGTTTGAGAATAGGTTGGTGAGAATATTTGGGGGCTAAGAGAAAATAAGTAACAAGAATTGAAAATACTGCTTAATTGAGGAGTTTCAGAATATATTCTCCTCACCAAATACTATTAGGGTGATTAAATCAAGGAGAATGAGATGGCAAGGATATGATATGAGAACTGGAGAATAGATTACTTGGAAGACATAGCCATGGATAGGAGGTTACTGTTAAAATATACCTTAAAGAAATGATGTGAGAGGATGTGGATTGGATTCAGCTGGGTCCAGTGCTGCACTCTTTTGAATACTGTAATAAATCTTTTCGTCCTGTGAAAGGTGAACAATTTCTTACATGTACTATCTTCATTATGTTTGTAAGACTGAAGAGTTTTCCATATTTTTCCTGGCCTTGGAAGATATCCTTATGTGATCTTTATAAAAGTTTAGATGTATGTCACTTCTGTGTGTAGTAGCTTCATTTTAGAAGTATTATAAAATTAGATGATTGGCCTCTGCGATATTTAAAAGCAGTATCTCTTTGTCGTGCATTTCTGTGATACTTAGTTATATTTTCAAGAATGAATGCTTGATAATGGACCTAAAGATACCCATTTAAACTTGGCAGTGAGTCTTTGCTGCACAGTTTGTCTTGCTGTTTCCCAGAGCAGTGTTCTGGTTACAGCAGTACCATATGAACTGTGTTCCTGTAGTTAATTGCAGGCTCAGGGATTAATGAAATTTTGGGATTGGCTTTCCAGAGATGCGCCTGTGTGTTCTCTGATTTTACATTTAACCCTATGCATACCATACAAGATATATAATTAATTGTTACTGCATACAGGTGGGTTATTTAAAATACCGTAAGATGCTCAGTGTCAGAAATTAATTTGTGATTATTATATTTTGTATGCTAAAAACTCAAAATAGAACTGAGATAAGAATTAGTTGATTTACCTGTATACAAGGTTTCAGAATAATCGGTTGCTTTGGACTGTGTGTCGTCTGTGTTAAATGGTTTCTTTCCTTGACATGTGTTTAAACTGTTGAGTGTGTTAAGTTTGATATTATAGGTAGCTGAGTGCCACAGGCTTATGTTTCATTCTCAGCAGAACATTTTGTTGGTGCTCTGGTTGTCTTATAGTTCATATACAACAGTATGTATTTGCTGTGAATTGAAAAATAAAAATGGCCTAATCAATATTGTTTCATTGTGTACTTATGCTATTCTAGTGCCTAGTTCCTTATTTCATGTGCAAAATTTGTTTCATGTATGATTCATTGACTGTTCCCTGCATAGCCTTGAGCTGAACAAGGTTTACATTGAATGATTCGACTGCACTGAATTGCACAGTATTTAGTTGTTGATGCAAGATACAAATCAGGCCACGCCATAGCTCAATTGGTTAGTCATTGGCTTCGCATTGCGGTGCCCCACGATTGATCCCGGGTCTGGTCAAGTAGGATTTGTGGTGGACAAAGTGGCACTGGGGCAGGTTTTCTCCAAGTACTTCGGTTTTCCCTGCCAATTTTCATCCCACCAGTTGCTCCACAGTCACCCTCACCTGTCATCTGGGGCTGGTACGATAGGCCAGAAGTGCCAGTAGCAATAAAAAAAAAAGATACAAATCTTAAATTTTATCAACAAGCAGTACTGCTTCTAACTTATTTTGGAGGTACTTGATTCATATCTCAGCTTAGATACTGAGTATTCTGACAGGTTTTTTTTTTCGTAGTTTTTCTCAGTCCCTTCAGATGAGTACTGGGATAGTACACTCAATATGTCACTGATGCTTCCTCCCAGATTGTTTTCTGTTTCACTGATATTGCTGTACAAGACATAAGGGACAAATCTGTAGATGAATCAAGTAGACTTGCAGCAGGAGGAAATGTGCAGAGAGTGGAAGTACTCAGAAACCAGTCCCAATACAAAACAGTAACTAACAATAACAGACAGGTGGGAAATTCAATTACAAATAAAAATCAAATGTTCTCTGATGCTTCAGGGAACATTTTAAACACATAGTAAAAAAAAGTTATTTTGGGGGTATTAAAAAAATAAATGATGATGTACCAGGACAGTGCAGTACCATTCAGGTGGTGACAACTACATGTTGCTGGAAAAGGTTTTCCCTCTCAGCCGATAAAGATTGAAGAAATAATCTCCAGTTACATGTACCATTTGTGAAGTCTTGATTTATATTTGAAATTATGGCACTCAAGATCGTCATATGATGAGATACTGTCAGCTTTTTAATATCAGCTGAGAGGCCTTCAAGTGTGAAGTTGAACAGTGTCATTATAAGCTGCCCCTCTATCTGGACGGTCTGTTGAATGCTTTAATAATTGAATCAGCATTATCTGGTGCTATATTTTGACAGTTTATTCCCTTATTGGATTTGGTGTCCATTTTGTTTTCCTAGTCATAGAAGAGGAATAAAAGCTGTTTTGCAAACCTTAATATTGTGACATGATGGCTGAAAGCCAGAAATTTGGAACAAAAAAGAGGCAGCCTTTGCAATGCAACACTGTTATAAACACATTTGTGTGACAACAAATAACCAATAGGAATGATTCAGGCGATGCTTTTTGTGGGGTCCAAATCAATGCCAGCCTAGTTGAGTCTCCCAGAGTCGTGAAATAGTAAAATATGGTCGTCAGTCCCATGGGACTTTGAGCCAAGAATCTATGCTGGCAAGGGCCAACAGCAGTTTAGCAGTCGAGTCACCCTTGAATTGCATTGCTGCATGCCGCTACCAAGCAACAACTAGTGAAAACAGCAGATTGAGAAGACTTAGTGTTTGTAGTAGTGATTTTTAGAGTGCATAATTAGTAAAGGTGTTATTATTTGCAGTTACATGTTATAAGATTTCAGTAAATCTAACTATCAATCCAAACCATGTGTCTAATTAGCAACACATGACAGTATGTATGAATTGTATGTAGAAACAGATGTTTGAAATCTCCTCAAACAGATGTTAAATATTACAAGTTTAAGGGATGTGCACTTTCACGTGTCTGAATAGTCACATCATGGCAATGCCATTCTGGTTTCTTCAAGAGGGAGATTTTAAGCATGGCATCATTTGTTTCATGCTCTGATGGGTAAAGTGAGGAGTTTTGGTAAGGTAGCTCTTGTAGAGATGTGTAGAAATACACAGAGGAACTGATAAATTAGCGAGAGAAGACATGACAGTAAAAGTTAAATTGAACACAGGCATTTTTTAATAAATTTGATGCACTTGCAGGTAGAATAGTTAGACGGGGCCACCTGAAATCATATGATACACAGGCCTTTTGACCAACATCCTCTGTAAAAGAATATTTTATGATTGTATATTAATAAAATAAAATTAAAACTGATAAAGTATGCACTTTAGGTACCATTGCTACAAACTGAGAATGCCTGAATCTCTATCACTTGCAGATCTAAGTGTACCTTTAACCTTTAAATGCCGGACTTCGAAATAGTGGTAAACTTGAGCTGGCCGGAGTTTATTTAAATGCCCGCTGCTGGTGCTCGTTTAAATGCCTGTTGCTCCCTTGCGTTTAAATGTCCGTTCCTGTTAGGCGGTTAGTCAATTTTAAGCGTTGTGTTTAAAAATGCTGTATCTAGCACAATTTTTATGATAAATGGATGGTATTAACTTTGTTTATATCAGCAAAGAACGTAGTGTCGCATATTATAACGGAAGATTTGAAATTTTTAATACAAAGTGTTATACTCTATTTTCAATTTTTTGTGTTTTAATTTTGATGCGTACTGCAAAAATTGTTTCCCAGTTCTTCACAGAGTTGTTCTGCATTATAAATTCATTTCTGTTTGTAACACTTGACAAATTTTAGCAGTCCCTGGTGTCATAAAACAGATGGAAGCAATAAAATCATTTGGTCTTCTGCTAGCACTGCTTACACCCTTCGGATTTTCGAATCTTTGACTGAAGGTCAGAAGAATGAAAGAATGGCTATTCAAGAGAAAGCTAGAGGGGTCCCTTCTTCAGTGCTAAAACCTTCCGTTAGAACTGCAAAAGCTTATTGCCCCTTCTATTTGAGTGAACAGACAGCTGCATCGTGGCTGAGATACAGAGCGCGATCTGTTTTGTGTGCGTTCGTAGTGAAATTGAATATGGTAGTTTTATATACATCAAGCAGGTAACAACAAAAAAGGTATGTACATCAAATTTTACAATATATTTTTAACATACCTATCTGCAGAATCTGCAATAAAATTACTGGATCGTGGATAAGTTTTGGCATAACTCATACGTATATTTTTATTTGCTGCTGTTCAGTTAGGTATTATTTTAATTCCTCTATTAGGGTTTTACTCAAGTCTGTCTGGTAATTACTACATTTGAAAATAAATATTTAGGAATGTGCATGCGCTTCCAGTAGCGGAGTTTAAATGCCTGACTGGACAAAACGGGGTACTTTGGCCACGACGACATTACTCATGACTGGCACAAACTGGGCACTTCGGCACTTAAAGGTTAAGAAGTGATGTTCCCCTTATAGAGTTTTGCAGTTTATGTTACCAGTGTTCTGAAATTTTCTTGATCACAGGTCTTTCTGGTACTTTACGTATACTTGTATCTAGATGTGATTGAAGGTTAACAGTCATGTTAATACTGTTAATTAATCCTTATGGACAACAAGAGTTATGTTACCATTGCACTTGCAGAAACTTTCGTCACCTCATGCAGTCATGGCCCTTTTTATAATCATAATTGTAATGTGATTTGTGCATGATCAACCCTATTTTACATGACATATTTCAGTGTACAGCCAGTTTATGTTGCGTCTTTTAATCTCTTTGGCCTTGGTAATACTGTGATTTGATTTTTTATTTAACCCCTCTATAACTATCAAGTCATTGCATATTAATGGCAGCCATCATATCAGTAAAAAATATGGAAGTTACCAGAGTTAACTCTTTCCTGGGAAGTGCTAGTTATTCAGCCTGTCACCACTGAAACATTTCCCCAAGTACTGGACAGTGTCCTACATAATATTTATATAAGGTATTACCTTTTTGGAAATTGATCTCACTGTTCCCCATGTAAATTGTAGAGAATTGAAAAGACTTGTGCTGCTTACTGAAAGAAAATTGATTCTCAAATTTATTTTCTTGATGAAGTTGTACCTTTGTTTAAAATGTTCAGGTGACTTGGAAGTATAGAACATGCTAGAAGGTATGATATTTGATGTTTGTTTCAACAGAGAAAAATTGAGTCATACCGAGAGGAGCAGAAAAATGGAAAGGACTTGAACAGTGACCAACTTGCGGCTGTGGCAAAGTATGAGGAGGTCCAGCAGACACTTGAATTTTCTCGTGACCTTTGTAAGCAGTATAATGGGATTGCTGTAGATGCTGCCAAACAGCTTAAAAAACAGGCAAGGAAGGAAGCTTTGGAGAAAGCTCAGCAGGAAGTGGCGAAGGTGAAGGAAATTCTTATGGTGCAGGTGAGTTTGTGTTGTAACTTTTGTTAACAGCATTTGTGTACAGCATGGAAAATGTGAGAGCTGATAACAAGATTTGAGGTGGTTAGGATTCATGTTGTGGTCTTCTGGATTGTAATGTCTCAGCATCTGATAGGTGGTCGCTGATGTTTTAGAGGATAGAGGTGGATAGAGGCAGTATGCTCTCACTTGTGAGACTACACAGAGCCACAATGCAGGTGACAGTGTGAATTGCAAAGAGCTGTTGAGGCAAGGAATATAGTTAAAACGCCTTTTTGTTTTCACTCCAGTGTACATTTTAAGTATATTTTAAATAGTTTCCAAAATGGCATTAATATCCTAGAGTGGTTTCTTTTCTCTCTAGAATGTTATGCAGACTGTTAACAAAGCACAAATTTTTAAGTGTATATTGCATACATTTTCTTCTGAAGTTAGCATGGGGCTAAGATGTACTGTCCCATTATCTCGTGTGTGATATTTATCATGAATAAAAATTAAGTTACTTTTTGAAAGGGAGCTGGGACAGGGTAGTCTGTGTAGTGACTTACTACAGGCTGGAAACATCGGGGTTGGAGTTTGAGTCCTGGTAGGGTCAAGAATTTTCTCTTCTCGTCATCCAGACTGGCTCTGGGGTTCAACCAGCCTTGTATTGAATGAGTACTGGGGTCTCTCTCCCTGGGGCTAAAACAGTAGGGGTGTGACACTGACCACTCACCTCCACCTAGTGCCGAGGTCAAGAAAAGGTTGATCTGTACATCCACTCCCCATATGCCTTCATGACATAGTGTCTAACTAATTAAGCACAGGGACAACTTTACCTCTTTACCTTTTACTTTTGGAAGACATTGCTAAATCATTGTTGCCATTACTTGAGCATGTGTGAATAACTTCTTTGTTTATCATCACATACCAAATCTAAAAATGTTTAAAATTTATGCAGTGTTGTGATTGCTAAACCTTGCCTAGTTCTCAGAGGTAGTTGTATAAAGCTGCATCGTCATGCTTCGTTTAATGTTGGGAATACATTCCTGCAAGTGAGAAGCCTAGTTGGCGTAACATTATGCAGCCGCATTTATAGTTCAGTAATTGTGGAGATACATTTGTGAATCATAAGTTATTGTGATTATATTAAATAAAATGGCCAGATATAGCTAAAATTATGTAATTATTTAAAATTCCCTATAAAATGTGCATGTATGAGGAGTGACAAACTGTCTCTTTGGACTCGTGTTGCTTATCATTTTTTAGTTGTCCCAGCTTCCGCCCTTAATTCCTTGTGGCTTTATGCTACTTATATAATAAACAAGTTATTATTCAGCAGCACATAAATATTGGCAATCAGCATGTTTTTGCAGGCCTTAATGCTACATGCCTTTATACTTGCTGCCAGACTTTATTAACAGGGAAATCGCGAACAAGGAGAACAGTAATATTTCTGATATTAATAATTGTTTCTGTTGAAGGAGAGTATTATTAAGGCAACATTCACCCATATGTTTTTTAAACAGTTGAATAATGATAACATATTTTAAGTATTGTAACATAAACTTTTGTTTATTCAGTTCATAGTTCACTAATTGTAAAAGGGTGAGCTGTGCGTCTTCTTGCAGTGAACATTATATTCAGGAAAAGCCTGTAAGTAGCTGTGTTTCTCTCTACCGTAGTCTTTTCCTTCCATCTTCCGACCATTTTCCTATCCACCCCGTCTTCCCTTTGCCTTCCAGGGTACTTTACTGCATTCTGAGGACATTTTGGATCTGCACCTTCAACAAGTGTGGTTGTAGCAAGGTACTGTTTAGGTGCCTACAAACATTTGGTTCATTAGGGACTGCGGGTGGGTGTTTTCTAAATTGGGGTTCAGCCTGTTTTCATGTATCCTTTTCTCATGGGCTGATTGCTGTTTTTCCTTTTTTTTATATTGTAACGTGTTCACGTTACTGAATACGCCGTAGAGATCGTTAACTGGTTTATTGAACAATCTACAACTATCGGCTACACTTAATTATCACACTATTACGGGTTTCTACAGTTTACAAACCCTACAACAAAATCTCTTAACACAATCTTCACTTGTCTTCACGTACTGATTACGCGGGAGCTATACAAGTCTCCCTGAAATACACACTCCGAGTATAACTGTACTACAGCAATCACTATGTCTGGAAAGCACACAATAAGTCTTCCGCTCGCTGGCTTCTTAGTTATCGCACACTCGCAGGCTGNGTATTGTATTATACATTATATTGCTTATTGTATTGTTTTTGTGCCTTAGGTCCTGTAATCATTGTAGATTATCAACTGCTCCAAGGTCACTGGTCACTTCTGTCCATATATGAAGGCTCACTCCATATGTCTCGGTATCATTATTTCTGTATAGTCTGGTTGAGGCACTATGCTGCAAGCTGGAAGGTCACAGGTTCAAGTCCTGATGGGGCCATTGGATTTTTTTTCATTTGACCTAATCCTTCCAGCCGCACTATGACCCTGGGTTCGACTCAGCCTCTAACAGAAATGAGTACCAGCGGAATATTCTTGGGGGTAAAGGGCAGCCAGCGCGTAGGGCTGACAACCTTGCTGCCATCTATGAGCTGTTTGTCTAGAGGAAATGTGGGAACCTCAACATCACACAAGCCAATGGGCCTCCACAGCCTGTTACAGGGATACCTTTACTTTACTTACTTTACTCGTCTATTAACTGCATAGCCATTGGTCTTGCAGCAGTGTCATTGTTTTTGTTATAACTTTCCTAAACCTGGGACCATCTCTAGATGTGATCAGGAAAGCTCAGGAGAAGATAATGGTTTATTTCCTGTACTGTTTTTGTCCTGACCATCCCTCTGGAAATACTCTGTGTCTCAAAGGTGTTAGAGAAACAGTTTTGGCCATGATGAGTCATTTCTTGCAACTCTCATAAATGTTAACTTTTTTAAAAGCAAAAATCCCATTGAACTTGGTTTTTCTCAGGCAGAATGATTTCCACAGTTAGCAGTTATCAGTAGTTGATTTTCAAATTATGTAGGTATTTTACAAGTGTTTGGATGTGTTTTGTAGGATGTTCTGCAAAATATGGGGCAAGAGAATGTTCGTGAGGATTTTCTTGCTGGTCGAAATGGAGCAGTACTGCTGAGTGGGGAAGATCTGAAATATTTGGACGACTTGTTCACTGAAGTGTCGCTAAAACATGGAAGAGAGGATGGGGTTCCTCCTTTCCAGGTGTGTTGAAATGCTTGGTATAGTTATTTATTCCAACATGAGTTGTACAAAGATGAGATAACTTTGGCCAATTTGTTATCATTTTATCTAGTTTGAGTCAAGGTTTCTGGTGAAAGTGTCTGGCAGTAAACATGACTAGTGTTTTTGATGTTGCCCTTGTTTTTCTAAACGCAGCTTCTTGGAGACTGGACCTGCAGAATGTTGTCATTATTGTAGATCTGTTAGATCTATACTTTATGGCAGGTACAAATGTTGCATAAGATTAGGCTCTTGGAGAAGTTTCATAAAACATGTTTTGAGATTCATGGGCATGGTGAATTGATACAGCCAAAAATTAAAGTTGCTTAATGGCTCTTGACATAGGTTCAAGTAATTAGATTCCATCAAAGTCATCTGTAGTTATGGAAATGTATATATTATCATGTATACTAGTGACTGTAGATGGGGTTTGGATTGGTGAATAGATTTATTGAATGCTCGAAAGTTTAACTACCAATAACAATAACAGTCTCACTTGTTTATACACACTATAAAGATTGCTGTAACTACAGCACACAAAATAAAAGTCTTCTATATCTGCTTCCAGTGCTTTTGGTGGTTAATGGGACTCAACAATGGCTATTCCTGTGCAAAGTTTTCACTAGGCGTTTCCTGGTAACGAATCTTAGCTGGTTGACCCCCCGGTACTAAACTCTTTTACGAGTGATTGAATCAGTTCACAAATGAACTCTCTTTAATAACGTGGGCTTAACCGAGGAGAGACCACCGCCTTGAACAGTTCATCTATTACTGCATCTATTTGTTGTCATGGATGTGTTTCTGACAAGCCGCTGTCTAGCAATGGACCATTCTGTGTATGTTTTTTGCCATGGGAATGTTGTTAATTTTTGTGGCAAGGCATTCTAGCAATGGACTACTCCAGCTTTCAGGCATCATTTTACAATATAAATAAGACCGCTGATATAACCTTCTTTTGCATGCATTTGAGGAAACTAAACATCTACACCATTTACTGAATTTCTCATTGTCAGCAAAGATACTTTAAAGAAGAATTGAAAGGAAAATAGAGGATATACTTGGAGAGGATCAGTTTGGATTTAGAAGAGGAAAAGGAACCAGGGATGCAATTGGGATGATGAAAATTATAGCAGAACAAACTTTGGAGCTAGATGAAGAACTGTGTGCTTGCTTTATAGAGTGGCAGAAGGCATTTGACCGTGTAAATTGGACCAAATTAATGCAGATCCTAAAGGAAACAAGTAACGATTGGCGTGAAAGAAGATTGATTAGTAAATTTTACATCGATCAGAAAGTTAGAGTGCGACTGGACAGAAGGGAGACAAGAAGTGTGAAGATTGGAAGAGGAGTTCGACAAGGATGTTGTTTATCACCAGTTTTGTTCAACTTGTACAGCGGATGCCTTACCAAAGAAGCTCTGGACGGGCTTGGAGACTTCAAATTAGGAGGGCAAATTATTCAAACTGTGAAATATGCAGATGACCTTGTGTTAATGGCTAAGGAAGAAACTGTGCTACAGGGTATGATTGATAGACTAATCGAAATTGGAAGGTGCTATGGCATGGAAATGAATGTGGAGAAAACAAAAGTAATGAAAATTTCGAGACAACCAACCCCAGTCACAATAAAGATAGACCAAAAACAACTGGAGAATGTGAAATGTTTTAAATATTTGGGTAGCTTGTTAACAGATGATGGAAGGTGTACGTGTGAAATTAAATGTAGGATTTCCATGGCAAAAGCTGCATTTAGCAAGAAGAAGAATCTTTTTACCAGCAAATTGGACTTAAATTTGAGAAAGAAACTAGTGAAATGCTACATTTGGAACATCACTTTGTATGTGGCTGAAACTTGGACACTTAGGGCAGTAGATCAGAAACACCTGGAAAGCTTCAAAATGTGGTGTTGGAGAAGGATGGAGATCAGTTGGACCGATTATGTGAGAAATGAAAAAGTGTTATTTACAGTCAGTGAGCAGAGGAATATCCTACACGAAATAAGAAAACGGAAGGCTAATTTGATTGGTCATATCTTACGCGGTAACTGCCTTCTAAAAGAAGTTATTGAAGGAAAGATAGAGGGGCGGATAGAAGTGACGGGAAGACGTAAGAACATGCTGGATTACCTTGGGGACAGAAGAGGATATTTTCATTTGAAGGAGAAAGCTCTAGATCGCATCAAGTGGAGGAACTCTTTTGGAAGAGACTGTGGACTTGTCTTGACAGATTACAGATGAATGAATGAAGGTACCACTGGATAAGCCTGTAAAGTGTTTATAGACATAACCTGATTACCAGGGTCCAGATTTTGATGACCTGAAAATATTTAAAAAATGACCTATAAAATGACTGAAAAAAATCCAGAGAAATTACCTAAAATATGAACTAAAAATGTAATATGTCAGAATATCTACTAATTATTTTAAAATGTATTTTTAATCTTTATTAACACTGAACTCATCTTTTACTCTTTTAAGTTTGTCCTCGTTTTTTATGTTGAAAATTATGCAATATTGATTGAATTTGAAGCTAAATGTTTTAATACGATTTTTTCTATCATGTTAGAACGCTTATCAAATGTACATATATGGTATGTATTCCAACATTTAAGTCTTACCTCATCCAGAGTTACAATAGATGACAGTCAGCATGCAGAGATTCTCGAACGTGAGAGAGCGCCTATTGTCCGACAGCACATTCTTATACTTGGAGAAACTCTTTTCCACATCTGCAGACACACTGGGAGCATACTTGAAGTGTACCAAATCACTAGCAATAAGTTCTTCAATACTGAAAGCACTGAAGGACTCTCCTGTCAGAATTCGAGAAATGCTGCATAATGTTTCATAATTTGAGTTTTTATCTAGAACATGTTTCATTTTTCTTGACATCATTTTACCAATGTCCCCTGACACTTTCTCCAAATCACTGGCTATTTTTTTTCACCAGAGCAAGCGAATCTTCTAGCATTGATCCTTTCTCCTGCAAGCATTGGATTCCTTCTGTCAAGGAACTGAAATTTGCCTTCATGAAGGCCACCTGTCCTTCCATTTCAATGCACGAGAACTGTTCCTGAGCATCTTCAATTGCCCTCACATCCTCCGTCTTCATTGAATCTACAGTGTTTTTCACTACCTGAAAATGATCGCAATAGTAAATTGCAGCATCAATCCACATTCCCCATCTTGTATTGACGGGTTCAGGGGCAGTGGAACACCAGGAGCCATAGACTTGAATTGCATTTTACAAGCTGGAGCCTTGACAAAAATCTTTGTCCTCGACACCAGAGCATCCACTTTAGGAAATTTTGATCTCACTTCCTCCGTCACTCTATGCAGTGCATGAGCTAGGAAAGTAACATGCACCAATTTCGTATAAAATGACTTTATTGACTTGCCTGCTTTTACAATATATGGGGCTGCATCAGTCACAAAAAGCAAGACATCATGTCGTATACCCTTTGGCCACAGTAGAAACATTGACTTCTTGAAAAGTTTACAAATTGTGGAATGGTTAACGGGTTCTAGCACCTCACTCATAAGCAGAAACACTTCACCTGGTCCGCCAATTTCCGAGGGTCCAATGATGACATTTGCCACATAGCAAGCCTCTGTATTGCAGCTCTCATGAATGGAAACAAAAATTTCTTCCCATGCACTTTATTCCTAATCATTTCCAGGATACTGTTGTAGCACTGGGAAAGGTAGTTCTTCCTGAGTGTGGATTCATCTGGGATAGAACGACCACAATTTACTTCCAGAAAAAATTTTCGGTTTTCCATTGTTCAGAGCCCAAAATGGAATATTTGCAGACTCCAGAGCATCACACATCTCTGAAAAAATCCGATGACTTATTACCACCTCCGGATGAACACTGTTGCAGTAACATTTGCACAGGTTTCTTTTTGTTTGAAATTTGCACTGCTCGTATATGTTTGTTGTGGCTGATGTGTTGTTGTACCGTGAATCTTTTTTCTGCCGCTACTTTTGTGTCACACATCTTGCAGTATAAAATGTCAGTTGTTAGTTGAAAATATATCATCTCCAAACTCAGCTACAAATTGCTTTAAATGACACGATTTAGTTGGCTTTGCTTTTGGCATTGTGATAAAATTAATCACTCTAGCGCAACACAGAACTGAACTTTTGTCACCAAGAACCTTTCATCAACTGTATCGTTATCTGTACAGTCAAGGGTGAGGAACCGAAGACAGAAGGAGTTTATTGAACAACAGTGTCATATGAAGCAAGAGATTCCGACTAGAAATATGTGTAACTCAGCAAATTGCTTTGTACAAAGAGCCACAGTGTTAGAAGTCATTGCCGTACCCTGTTATGTATTGTCAGCACTTCGTGAAACAAACGGAAAGGACGGGCCAGGATTACAACCTATTATTGTATACTATGGCCTTTGTAGAGAGCACTTAGGAGAAAGAGAAAGAACACTTTACTTCCATATTATTCACATTTCAGAAAACATATGAAGAAAAATTCCCTAAAATGGTCAAAAATGACTAGAAGTACCCTTAAAAGCCCAAAAATTTACCAAAATATTACCCCCAAAATGAAAAAATGACCTTAAACCTAAAAATGACAAAAAATCACCCATAAAATTTACATTTCTATAACCAGCAGCTCATACCCGAGATTTATATATTTAAGACCATCGCATAGGATACAAGGAACAAAAGATGACATGTCATGAAAATCCGGGCTCTGCTGCTTACACAGTAGCCTGTTGAAGTGGCCTGGTTCTAGAGATTGAAACACTGCCCTGGAAAGCCGGCTGCATTATGCCATATGCAGAAATTCCTGACAGACAAATTAAATATGTACAAATGTTATGTTCAGCAAACAACATTTTTGTTAATTGAATTTGATTATATATTTATAAATTAGTTAGAAACTATGGCCCATATATTTATGTACCTTATTTGCTTCGCTTCTTTCCATGTATAAGACGCAGCGCAATTTGTATAGCCATTTAAAAAAGAAGGGTGTCTTACACAAGTTAATGTTAGTTATGAATCGTGGAATAAAGAACTAGAAATTTATTTTTCATTTTCAATGTGATTAAATAGTATATCCTGTAAAAAGTGTTGCCTTGTATGTTTTGTTGTAGGAGCAAGCTCAGCATTCAGCAGAACATCTTCTCAGCATTGTGGAGGGGAAGAGTAAAGAGATTGTAGGAACAACATACGCAAAACTGAAAGAATTGTTTGCTGTAATCCAAGCCTGTGGCTACTTTGATCAAGTGGCGGAGGAAACGTGTGAGGAACAAGCTGACAAGGTGTGGTTTTTCATGATGTGTTAAGTTTTGAATAAGTAAAAACAAAATTCCATGCATAATAAAACATGTCTGAAAGGGAATGTGAACCTGTGCTGGAAAAATTTCAGGTTCCTGGAATGTAGAGTGAAGATCTATGAAAAGTTACTTCTGTTAAAAAGGAAACTACTTTATGAGTCATGGGAAGTATTATCTTTAGTTTTTTTTTATTGCTAGTGGGGTGGGACTAAGTCCATTGTACTGTGGCCACTTGTGGCCTATTGTACCAGGCCCAGATGATAGGTGAGGGTGATTGTGGAGCAATTGGTGGAATGAAGATTGGCAGGGAAACCGAAGTATTTGGAGAAAACCTGCCCCAGTGCCACTTTGTCCACCACAAATCCCACTTGACCAGACCTGGGATCGAACCCGGGCCACCGCGGTGGGAAGCCAGCGACTAACCGCTTAAGCTATGGCATGGCCAATCTTTAGCTTGATATGGATCTAAATTAAGTCCCCCCACCCTTTTCTTATCTTATGTAGGGAACGCATGCTTAAAACAATATACTTTAACCTTTAAGGTCTGAATGACACATATATATGATGCAAGCAGCAACCGGAGTTGGCTGAATGACACGTATATATGAAGCAGGACACATGCACTCTTTGGGAGTGCTGACAGTTTGACCTTGGGTTTGAAACCAAAATAAACCTATATGAGGTCATGTCAGTGGTTCATTCTTTAGCTCTGAACAAAGAAATCGTTTATCTCGGTCCTGGTTTCGAAACTATTTATGTTTATATATAACTGTTTATGACCTGGTCAGCCAAATATAGCCCAGCTTTGTTCTTGGAACTGAAGAGGAAATACTCGTTGGTGCTTGCAGATCAGTGCTTCCAGAGCTTTCAAGGAAGTGTGACATATTCAAGGATTGGTTTTCAGTGGCAGATTATCAGTTGGGAAGTCAGTATCGGATTGTGTTTTATTTCTTTTTCACTTAAAAAATTAGTGTCAGACTGTCATATATTTCTTTTTATATTATTTTGTGTCTCGGAAGAGGTATAAACCGACTGAGCCAGTATTACTTTGTGAGTAAAAGGCATCGTTGTCACTGTGACTTTCCATATCAGTGTCGGACTAGCACCTTTTCAACTACTATTACAGTTATTTTTTATTGCTAGTGGGGTGGGACTAAGTCAGTGTTCCGCAACCTTTTTCTATTCGCAGCACACCATGAAGTATCCATGACTCAACACGGCACACCAAAATGTTATTCCCCTCAAAAACTCATGATATCAGACAATATAAATACATAACGTGATCAGCTTATTAATATAATATTATTATATTGTTATTTTATCAGTAAACAGAAATCGACTTGTGCATTTATTAGCAATGAACTTTAATTCACTCTAGAGTGTAGAAAATACACTTCTATTACTATTAAAGTAAATACAGTAATTCTACTCATACCTTCAATGTGATACTTGTGCCTACGTAGCTGCACACAGGCGACTGATCCGTGATGGAATCGTTGACAACGCAAGTCTCATTTCTTCATCGATGGATTTGAGCCGCTCCCTCTTTGATGTCTNAATCGGGGGTATATCAAATGACCCATATATAATTCTCTAACTAGCAACCAAAATTTGCGAACTACTTCAGAGCACAGCTGTGATAGAACTGGAACAATTGTAAAACGCGGTATCTCTACCATTAAAACAGAAGAAGTGACACTATACCGACTTATTTTTGAAATATTTATAATTTTAAATGAAGTCCAACAATCGGTGGGTGCATCGTTACAGGAAGAAAGTCATGAAGTTGAAGAAGCTCTAACTTCTAACAAACAGGGGCAAATACCAAAACAGCATTATAAAATACAGGAAAACTCATGCTAATCCCTGCAGTTTTAGGGAAAAGAACGCACACAGAACATGAGGCAAGCATATCAAAGAAGTTGCATAGATGCGAGAAAATTAAAATGAAATTAGTAATGAAATTATGATATAA